AAAGAAAGAAAGAAAGAAAGAAAGAAAGAAAGAAAGAAAGAAAGAAAAGGAAAGTAAAGAAAAAAGAAAGATAAAAGAACCCACAACTTAAATTTCTAATGACAGGGTATTGGTAAGTGAACCATTATATCTTCATTCCGCAGAAAACTACATAGTCATAGCTGTTGATTGCCACAGGAAAAAAAAGTTATTTTATAGGGTGAAGTTGTATCATGCAGTCATTTAACATATATGAATTAAAATTGTATCCCACAGTCCTGGGATCGAACCCCGCATCGGGCTCCCTGCTCAGCGGGGAGCCTGCTTCTCCCTCTCCCTCTGCTGCTGGCTGCTGCCCCTGCTTGTTCTCTCTCTCTGTCAAATAAATAAATAAAATCTTAAATAAACTTTAAAATTGTATGCCCAGTAAAAATATACATAAAATGAACAATGTAAATAATGCGTGTGATTCTCTCTGACATTCTGCAGTCAGCAAGCGCATAAATAGAGTGAATCTCAGATGGACAACATCAATTTATTATTCCATCACATGGATTCATTTCCCCTAAACCTATCATATTGTAACTGTCTTAAGTCAATGCGATTCTAGTTTTGGAGGCAGTTTTAATATTATGGCTCTTAGGCAAGCCAACTACTTTATCTAATTGCTTAACTATAGGGATAACAATGTATTCCACCACTGCAAGAAAAAGTGACTATGTTTGACTTATCAAGACTAGTATGTTGGTGTCTTTTATAGAGCCTTCCAATGGAATTTCAGAGCACTTTTGACTTGATGAGATTATTGCTAGTTTAACTTGATGAGATTATTGCTAGTTTAAGCTTCAAAATATTAAGAATGGTAATGACTGGATAGTAGGACTATGGATGATTATTTTTTCTTTAATTTATATTTAGTAGGCATATGGCAACTTTTATATTGAAAAAATAGAAGAGGGGCACCTGGATGGCTCAGTCAGTTAAGCGTCTGACTCTTGATTTCCGCTCAGGTCATGATCACAGGGTGATGAGATTGAGCCCCTCATTGGGCTCCATCCTGGGCATGGAGCCTGCTTAAGATTCTCTCTGTCTCTCTCTCTCTCCTTCTGCCCCTCCCCCTGGCTCTCTCTCTCTCTTAAAAAAAAATGAAAGAAAGAAAAAAGAAAAATAGAAGAAAACTAACAATTCACAGCTGAGCATTATGATGCTTATTTTCAGCACTGTGAAGGCTAATAGTCTAATTAGACCTATCCAAAAGTATATAGAAAAACAATTGTGGAGATTCTTAGGACTGATTCCTTTGAGTCTGACCCTGGGGATCAAGCCTGTACAGCACCAAAAAAAAAAAAAATTTTAAGATTAATATATAGAAGGAATGGCAGAGGAATCATGACCTAACAACTAGGAAAAAAATACAAATACAGAGATTAAAAATCTCAATTTTATATACTTTCTCATTATATTTCTTACCCACCTTTGAAAGACTTCAAAGTTGATAGCAATCTATTCCGAAAAACTTTCTGATCATCTGGAAGGAAAGGCACAGTTCAGGACAGAGAATGAGTCACAAACAGAATATAAGGGTCAGAGTTTCCTTTGTGTGACTAACTTTAGAAATCTATCCACTTTCACCTTCAAATCATGATGAAGTTAAGCAATGAAAAAGTTCTTACTATGGTATAGAGTGATATATAGTTTAGAGGTAAAGAGCCTGGGTTCAAATTCTTGTTCTGCTGCTGCCTAGCTTTGTGGCCTTAAGCAACAAACTCTGGCCTTTTCTGTGCCACAGTTTCCTCCACTGTAAAATGGGCATAACGTGTCATCATTGTGTGTGGTGAGGACAGAACTTGCCACATCATTAGGGCTCAACAAATGTTAGCTGTTATTTTTTCTAGATCCAATAATCGATCCACTGATCACACTACTGGGTATCTACCCCCCCCCACCAAATACAAAAACACTAATTCAAAGGGATACATGCACCCCTATGTTTATAGCATTATTTATAATAGCCAAATTATGGAAGCAGCCCAGGCATTATTTATAAAAGCCAATTATGGAAGCAGCCCAAGTATGTATTGATAGATAAATGGATAAAGATGTGGTATATATGTATACCATGTTATACATATAGATACCATGTTATATATATAACAGAATATTATTCAGCCATAAAAAAAGAATGAAATGTTGTCATTTGCAATGACATGGATGGAGCTAGAGAGTATTATACTAAGTGAAATAAGTCAGTCAGAGAAAGACAAATACCATATGATCTCACTCATATGTGGAATTTAAGAACCACAACAAACAAGTAAAGGGAAAAAAAGAGAGAGACAAACCAAGAAACAGACTCTTTTTTTTAAAAAAGATTTTATGTATTTATGTATTGATGTGTTTATTTATTTATTTGAGAGTGAATGAGAGAGAGAGAGCATGAGAGGGGGGAGGGTCAGAGGAAGAAGCAGACTCCCTCTGAGCAGGGAGCCTGACGCCAGACTCGATCCTGGGACTCCAGGATCATGACCTGAGCCGAACGCAATCGCTTAACCAACTGAGCCACCCAGGTGCCCCGAAACAGACTCTTAACTATAGAGAACAAACTGCTATAGGTGGGGTGATGGGTGAAATAGGTGATGGGGATTAAGAAGTACACTTGTGGGTGCCTGGGTGGTTCAGTCAGTTAAGCATCTGACTTAGGCTCAGGTCATGATCTTGGAGTCCTGGGATTGAGCCCTGTGTTGGGCTCCCTACTCAGCAGGGAGTCTGCTTCTCCTTCTCCTTCTGCTCCTCTCCCTGCTTATGCTCTCTCTTTCTCTCAAATAAATAAAATCTTAAAAAAAAAAAGACCCTGGGTGATATATGGAATTGCTGAATGACTATATTGCACACCTGAAACTAATATAACACTGTATATTAGCTGCACTGGAATTAAAATAAAAACTTAATAAAAAAAAGAAATTGAGCTTAACAGGGAGGAGTTTTCAGGGTTTAGCTCTGGAAGGGATAAGGATAAGGAAAAGGGAATCTCCAGGGGCAATGTAAGGAAAAGTGACTCTGGGAGAGAACAGGAATTTACAAGGACTTCTGCAATGTTACTGAGAGAGACAATATGTACATCCCTCTTTCCTCTCCCTTTCAAAATCATCAGTAACATCTTTCCTCAACACTGATTTTGTGCAAAAGGATTCTTTTCTTTTTTAAAGATTTTATTTATTTATTTGAGAGAGAGAATGAGAGATAGAGAGCACGAGAGGGAAGAGGGTCAGAGGGAGAAGCAGACCCTCCGCTGAGCAGCAGGGAGCCCGATGAGGGACTCGATCCCGGGACTCCAGGATCATGACCTGAGCCGAAGGCAGTCACTTAACCAACTGAGCCACCCAGGCGCCCGGAAAAGGATTCTTTTGACAGTTGAATTCTGTACTTGAATTGGCACAGAGTAATAGACTGTTCATATGAAATCAAGAGCTGAAGGATGGGTGCAGGTAACACCTGAACATGTGTCACTTTAAAATATAAATATCACAAGTAGAACCAGAAAACTGAACTCTTTGGAGGTTGCAGATGCAGCTCACCATCAACTGGTAGCGATTTTTGTAGATCAAGACATTCCTTATCATTGACTTCTATCCCCATGTCTCCAAGAATGTTTTTCAGATTAGTGGCATCAATCTTTTCTCCTTTGAAAATACAGAGTGTTTATAGGTGAAAATTTTAGAAATGAATAACTCAATATTATGGAGGTTCAAAAGGTTCATAAGAATATGTTAATGACTTATATGATATGTATTTTAAAATATACCTAAAATAGCTTATATGGCATCATTCCCAATTTGGGATTAAAGAGCAAAGGTAAAATGGGATGTAGAAATAGTGTGTCATTAGAAGTCAAAGCAAACTTGTTCCTAAATTATTGATATAAGAAAGTCTCTCTTAATTTGGGGGATAATGTGCAGAATAAAATCTACTTACCAAATTGGATAATGAATTGCCAAAAGAAAGAATTATGGCAGGAGATCTTATACTGACTTATGTAATTGATTGTTCACAAAATCCACACTATCTTGAGCTTTACAAAACTTTACCTTATTTATTCATACACTTACCTAAAATTTAGCTATTTGCATGTAGGCAAAGGCATATATACATATATGAGAAAAACATCTCTAAAGTATATAGGACTTGTTATCAAAAACAAGTCCTGTAGTTTATTTTTAAAACAGATAATCCAAGATCAAATGGATTTTTTTTAAATTTTTTATTGTTATGTTAGTCACCATACATTACATCATTAGTTTTTGATGTAGTGTTCCATGATTCATTGTTTGTGCATAACACCCAGTGCTCCACGCAGAATGTGCCCTCTTTAATACCCATCACCAGGCTAACCAATCCCCCCACCCCCCTCCCCTCTAGAACCCTCAGTTTGTTTTGCAGAGTCCATCGTCTCTCATGGTTCATCTCCCCCTCCGACTTACTCCCCTTCATTCTTCCCCTCCTGCTATCTTCTTCTCAAGATCAAATGAATTTTATCAGGCAGAAATATTTTACAATAATTGGGTAAGATGGCAAAATTAATATGAACAATAGACTACTGGGATAACAACATTCAAATATAATTTACTATAGAGCACTGGGGTTTCAGTGTTATAGAAACTCACCTGTAAAATCTTTCATTTTCAGTGTCACATTTTCCAGATCAACCTTCCCATCAACTGTAAGACAAAGAGCAGTTCCAGACCAAAAATGAGACTGTTCCTTCTGCTTTCTCTACCTATGACACCTGTCCCCCAACTAGAAAGTTGATATCATCTTGAATTTTATTTTATTTTTAAAGATTTTATTTATTTATTTGACAGAGACACAGTGAGAGAGGGAATACAAGCTGGGGGAGTGGGAGAAGGAGAAGCAGGCTTCCTGCGGAGCAGGGAGCCCGGTGCGGGGCTCGATCCCAGGACCCTGGGATCATGACCTGAGCCGAAGGTAGCAGCTCAACCGACTGAGCCACCCAGGCGCCCCTCATCTTGAATTTTAGTTCTAGACTATTAATTTTTCATCATATTTACTTAGATATCTAAGAATAAGTTTTTTTATTTTTTATTTATCTATTTAACAGAGAGAGAGAGAGAGGGAGGGAGAGAGAGATCACAACCAGGGGGAGGGGCAGGCAGAGGGAGAGGGAGAAACAGGTTCCCCACTGAGCAGAAAGCTCCTTGTAGGGCTTGGTCCCACGACCCTGAGATCATGACCTGAGCCAAACCAAGAGTCAGACGCTTAACTGACTGAGCACCCAGGTGCCCTTTGTCTTTATATTTGAATGACATCTTAGCTGTGTATAATTTTCTTTGCCACACTTTTTCAATTTTGTAGACATTCCTCCATTCTTTTCTGGAATTGAATGTTGCTTTGGAGACCTATTGCTTCCCCCATCTATTATGTGCTTTCTAACATTTCTATATCTGAAGAACTCTGATTTTTCCTCAATAAGTAAACTAGGAAGTACTTCACTGTAGAATATTCTGGATCAACATTTTCTGGAACTGGTGTGGTGTTTCTGATCTGCATTCACTCCTTCATTTTAGAAAACTTTTCTTTTTTTCCTTAAACTAGATTTGATTTAAAATTTTTTACTTGCTATATTCTCTAAAGATATTTGATATTCTTATGTTACTTTGTGAATCATCCATATCTACTAGATATTTGATAGCATTAATCTTTTTTTAAGTTTTAATTTAAATTCCAGATAGCATTAATCTTTTCTCTGCATTTACTGTATCTTTTTTTAAAAAAAGATTTTATGTATTTATTTGAGAGAGAGAGAGCATGAGCTGGGGGGGAGAGGCAGAGGAAGAGGGAGAGGGAGAAGCAGATTCCTCTCTGAGCAGGGAGCCCAGTGCAGGGCTCGATCCAGGACCCTGAGATTATGACTCCAGCCAAAGGCAGATGCTTAACTGACTGAGCCACCCAGGTGCCCCGGTGTTTACTGTGGGTATATTAAGTTCTCTTACTCTGTCAATAAGATATTCAGCCATATCTATTTTTTACTTTGATGTTTATAATTTATTTGATAATTCTATAATGATTGGTGCTCATTTTTTTTTTTTTTTAGTTAGGCAATTTCCCTTTTAATATTATCATGTTATGTTACCATCTCATTTTTGAGATCTAGTTTTATTGAATCCATTAAAGTTGCTCTGTAATAAGAATTAATTGTCAAACACTTCTTTTTGGCTGTTCCTTAGGTTATACTGAATTATACTACTATTAGACTGGGTTATTTGTTTTTCACATGTTCTCTTCCTTCCATTCTATCTTCTTTCTTTCTTATTTTCCTTTTGCTATTTTTCTTTGCTGTGTTAATGTAGAATTGTTGCCATGTCCTTTCTTTTCATTTTGCATATGCTTCAACAGCTCTGTTCAGATCTTCATTTTATTCTCAAGATTTAGTGTAACCTTTAGTTGCTCTTTCTATAGTATCTGAGACCAGTTTGCTTTCTTCAGTGACAAGCATTTGAGGAAAACTTCTACCCACTTCTATTGTAATCTGAGGGTGTGATGAGGTGTTACATGGCCTTTGTTATACTTGAGCCCTGCTCTCATATCTGAGGTTTGCTCAAATGTCCCAACAGGGTTCATTGCTCTAATTAGGTAGAATGAACCCTGGTAAAGACATTTAACAAACTATGGATCTGTGCATGGGATGGTGTTCTCTGGCTTCACGTCAGACCTCCATTTCTGGCTCTGAAGCTTTTCTTTCATTAATGAGTGATTCCTATTGTTCATTTCTCCTGTTTTATTGATTTTTTCCCCAGCTATTCCTTCCTAGTAAGTGGAGAGAGAGAGAGAGAGAGAGAGGGAGAGGGGAAAGTTATCTATCCAATTTGCTTCACTCCAGATCTGGGCATTTTAGTGAGAAATCTCAGGATTTCATCAGTTTAATTTCTGAGGGAGGAGAAAGGCTAAGAGGAGTCTAATTGTGCTGTACTGTTTCTACTCAAAAAATCTTTTATCTCCTTGGTTGTCCTCATTAAACATTTATGGCATTAGGTTGGCCTCCTTTTATTATTTGATTGGTGCTGAATTTCCTTTGCTGAATTTTTACTTTTTTGTTCTTATTGTTCATTTTGTTAGGTATTGGAGGAAAGAAAAACTAGACAGATCTTGGTTTATCATCTTAAACTGGAGTCCTCTGGATCGGTAAGCATTAAAATAAACAGTTCCTTGAAGATTTGAAAGAACTTACTCTTAAAACTCTCTGGGCCTGTCACCTTTTGTTATAGTGATGGGTGGTGGTGGAAAGTTGACAGATGTAATTATTTGATGGTTTTTTTCAACTATCATTATTGGTCTATCTATATTTTTCACTTCTTCTTTGATCAATATTGGTAATTTATTTCTTTTACTTTGGAAAAATGTTCATTTTTTAATATATTTAACATCTTAATCTCATGTTATCATAATACTTTACTGTAATAGTATTATTATGCTCGATATTCACAGTTATATCTCTTTTAAAATTCTTAGTGTGTTTCTCTCTATCCCTTTCCAGTCTTTCTGACTGTATCTGAACAGGCAAATTTAACCATTCCTCATCATAGACTGTTCTCTTACTTACCTCTTTAATGTTTCTTTTAAATGTTTCACATTCTATTTTCCTTTTCTTCTTCATGCTTTGACCTAAGAATGGTTTGTCAGAACTCTCACTAATTTTCATTATTCATAGAATACTCTGTTAATGAAGAGTCAGGATGTACTTTCATTTGAGACCTGCATTCAGCTACATGCTTTTTTAAAATTTTTATTATGTTATGTTTATCACCATACATCATTAGTTTTTGATGTAGTGTTCCATGATTCATTGTTTGCATGTAACACCCAGTGCTCCATTCGGTACGTGCTTTTAAAAATGTTCTGTTGAGGGGCGTCTGGGTGGCTCAGTCAGTTAAGCGGCTGCCTTCAGCTCAGGTCATGATCCCAGGGTCCTGGGATCCAGCCCTACTTCCAGTTCTGCCTCGGGTTCCCTGCTTAGCAGGGAGCCTGCTTCTTCCCTTCCTGCTGCCCCTCCCCCTGCCCCCCAGCTTGTTCTCTCTCTCAAATAAATAAATAAAATCTTTAAAAAAATGTCCTGTTGATACTAAATAAAGACTATCACTCGTCTATGGATACTTTCAAACCCAAGCTGTCCTAAAGGGAATACATTTTTATGTACAATGCTCACCATCAACTGGTAGGGTTTGTGAAAAATCTTCAAGTTCTTTATGTGAGAGCTTAATCCCCATATTTTCCAGAAATGTGTCCAGGTTATTGATATCAACCTTTCCTCCTTAGGAGAGACAAAGTATCATAAAAACAACCAAGATGTGGAAAATTCCTTATTAATTCATGTATATTATTGTTCTCACTTTACTCATGAAGACATTCAGGTCCAGTAAGACCTAGTCAACTGTACTAGGAGGGTCAACTTTATTTTTTTAAAAATTTTTTTATTTTAAGATTTTATTTATTTATTTGAGAGATAGAAAGCATGAGAGGGAAGAGGGTCAGAGGGAGAAGCAGACTCCCTGCTGAGCAGGGAGCCTGATGCGAGACTCGATCCTGGGACTCCAGGATCATGACCTGAGCCGAAGGCAGTTGCTTAACCAACTGAGCCACCCAGGTGCCCAGGAGGGTCAACTTTAAAACTAGATACAGAGTCTCATTGTTTGACTATATCTTTTGTTCATTATCAACATAATGCAAGTTCTAAAAGGGCTGGGTAATTTTCCAGGGATTTATGGCATATATAACATATCCATAAATTTTAGAAAATACATATATGAAATTTTTAATGTAATAAGAATAAACTAGTGTATATGAAAAATAAGAGACTATCTCAGATTTATCTGCTTTCTCATTATACTTCTCACTCACTTTTAAGAGTCTTCACACCATCCAGCAACCTTTTTTGATACACTTTTCCTTCAGCTGTAAGAAAAGGCATAATTCGGGTGAGAGAAAAATAATAAGGGAGATTCACCTAACCAATAAATATTCTACAATTCTTTCCCTAATTCCATAATTTCAAAAAGATAGACTTTTTAATGATTTTTCTGAAATTTACCTAATTTGTTCTCAAATAATAACAAAGTTTGTTTGGAGAAAGATTTTAATGATGCAAATTTATTCACTCTTGCATGAAAGGCAAGGATTATGGCTTAAAACTTATAAAACATATATCTCATTTGATTTACTTGTTTCTCTGATTTCTTTCCTTACACTCTTTATTCTTCCATTTTTACATCTTTCCTCTTACTCTCAGGAATATTAATGGAACCAAGGACAACAAAACACACATGTTATTGGCAGGATTAAGTGAAATAGCTATTGCCTACCATAATAAAAACTAAATGACCCAAATTTTCTTTGGCAAAAATCAAATAATTAAAAAGAAAGTTGCATTCTAAAAAAAAGTTTTCAAAAATGATTAAACAAAACCAACCTGGTAACAGTCTGGTATCATTTTAGAAGAAAATCCTACAGATCATAGGGGAAGGGAGGGAAAAAATGAAACAAGACGAAACCAGAGTGGGAGACAAACCATAAGAGACTCTTAATCTCAGGAAACAAACTGAGGGTTGCTGGAGTGGAGGGGGGTGGGAGGGATGGGGTGGCTGGGTGATGGACATTGGGGAGGGTATGTGCTATGGTGAGCACTGTGAATTGTGTAAGACTGATGAATCACAGACCTGTACCCCTGAAACAAATAATACATAATGTTAATTAAAAAAATTAAAAAAAAAAGAAAATCCTACAGTCAAGCACTCTAAAGCTCCATGAATTATACATATATATTTTAAATCCTTACCATCAACTGGTAGAGTTTTTACTAAATTAAAGTATTCCTTGTCTGTGACCTCAACTTTCATGTCTTTCAGAACATCATATACATCACTGATGTCTATCTGCTCTCCTAGAAAAGACAGAAATTGTGACAAAGAAGAATTTGGGAAGAACACAAAATTAGTAAGTTATTACAGTCAAATGCTGTTAACTAGCAAGATTTTCACTCATGTGTCATTAAGATAATTTCATGGGTAGTTAAAAATCATGTATTCTAGAACAAACAAAAATTAAAATTTGTTATTACCTTGACTAATTATATAAACATGTAAAAAAATAAAACAAATAATAATTTCGGTCTTTGCTACACAAAATAGAAATTCAAGTAGTTTTCCTGATAGTTTGAAATTATAATTATGTTAGGAGCAGTATAATGTTAGGCACATAAATCTAGAAAGGATTTCTAGATTAGAAGCTTATATGAATACAATATACATAAAATGCACATAGTTGATGCTTATTAGAAAGAATGTTTCAAAAAGAGGGCCTCAGGCTTCCCCAATAATTTTTGTTTTGTACTATTTTTATGGTAAATAATCTTTTGATTATTGTAAATAGTTTTATACTTTGTAACTTTAGAAAGGAAAAACAATTTTGGTTTAATTAAGTCTTTTGGTTTAGGGCACCTGGGTGGCTCAGTTGGTTAAGTGACTGCCTTCGGCTCAGGTCATGATCCTGGAGTCCCGGGATCGAGTCCCACATCGGGTTCCCTGCTCAGCAGGGAGTCTGCTTCTCCCTCTGACCCTCTTCCCTCTCGTGCTCTCTATCTCTCATTCTCTCTTTCTCTCAAATAAATAAATAAAATCTTTAAAAAAAAAAGTCTTTTGGTTTAAATCAGTGGAAAGTGAATCTCTGAAAGCTTACTGTCTAGAATCCTAAACTTTTAATCAGTAAATTAGATATGTTGCATATTTCAAATGTATATGTCTAGTATGGATATTTCTTTTTATTTATTCTGCTTAGGAGTCACTTGACTGTGTCTCTTAACCTCTCTTTCATATTTCTCATTTCTTTGTCTTTTTGTGCTATATACCTTGTAATTTGTTAAGCTGCTTAGTTGTTTCTTCAGCTGTTCATAAATTACTGTTAAAATCTTCAAATGTTTTAAATTTTTACTATTTTAATTTCTCAAAAGTCTATTTGGTTCTTTATCAAATCTGCTTGCTCTTTACTCAAATGTACTCAAGCCTCTCTTTTCATTATTAAATTATATTAAGCATGCTTATTTAATAATTTTTGGCCTGATAATTCCAAAATCTAAAATCTTCCCTGATCTGATTCTGCTAAATGTTGTTCACGATGGGTATCTTACTTATAGTGCCTCATTTACTTGTATATTTAATAATTCTAAACTATGAACTGCTCTTTATGTGGAATTCTTTGTTTTGAGAAGAAGGGTATCCTTCAAGACAAGAATCAGACTGATTAATTCTAGATTATCAGTGCACGAGTTTAGGCCACTCTTCAGGAGCATTAACACAGTACATGAATAGTGTATACTAAAAGACCCATTGCTTATTATAGCTTATCCCTTAATTCAGTAGCCTTGACTATATCCTTCTGGCTTCAGAGCAATTGCACTTTCTAAATTGCTAGTCAAAGCATCTTCGATCTCATATTAAGATCATATTTAAATCTGATGTTACTATATGCAATTATAATCTCTATTGCTAACTGAAAATATCCAATATTTTTTGACTGGTTGGTTACTAATTATGGAATATCGCTACTCTCTCCCCATATTACTATCCATTGGTATAACACTCTCAATCCAGTGACTCTATTACCTTTACCCTATGAAGAAGTTTTCTACTTCTGTAATTATAATTTACATAATTGTATTTCTGTAGTTTAGTAAGTGTCCATGTCGTAAACAGATCTTTTGGGTATTTCAGTACCACGCTCTGACTTAATATTATTTGTTGATGGGTCTTGTCTTAATAGTGAAAAGGGACCATAGTAGGTTAAAGATGCAATAATTAGTTTAGTTTCTCTTGAAAGATCTAAGTCCTTAACAGATACAAGATTGGTTCAAGTGACTGAGCATTGGCCTTTTCTAGAGATTTCAAATTGGTAAAACTAAATGATAGGCGATATACTTTTATAGTAATTATTACTTGGTGTTTTGATGCTGCTCAAAGAAATTGCTATCTTAAAGGTAGAAAAGCCCACAGTAAAAACAGATGGTATAAAGACTAGAGAAAGTGCGTTAGTGGATCTTACTAAATAGACTGTGCAGAAAAAAGTTAACATAGCAGGCCTGAGGCTGCTATCTTTAGAAGAGCCTGCTTGCTATTAGTACTTGGCTGACATCTGGGAACTTGGATTTCAGAATGTTCCCTCCAATACGAACTGAAAAGGTTAGCTCACTGTGCCTAAACTTGTGCAAACAATGTGATTTATGGTGAATACTTGTTTTTCTTCTGGGAGTCTGGGATACTGACAGTTGATAGGCAGAGGGCACCTATGTGAGTAGCCCCAAATAAAAAACCTTGGGCACTGAGTCTCTAATGGGTTTCTCTGGGCACAAATGTGTAACTACATTTTTGCTGCTGGAAGGAAGGTATGTTATATATGACCCCTCATAAGAAGGAGTGCATAGGAAGCCTGCACATGGATTCTTCTAGAAGCTTCCTATATCTTTTTTTCTTACTGATCCAGATATATCCTTGGTGTTCACTCTTTGTATCATACAGTACTATGGATTTTGACAAATGCAATATGTCATGTATTCACCATTACAGTAACATACAGAGTTTCACTGACCTAAAATTCTGTTGTGGCCCTTATACTCATCTCTCCTCCCTATACCACCCTCCTAAACTCCTGGCAACCACTGATCTTTCCATTTTTTCCATAGATTGATAGCCCATTTCTTTTTATTATTGAATAATATTTTATTATATGGGTGTATCACAGTTTGTTTATCCATTCTTCTATTCAAGAACATCGTATTTGCTTGCAAGTTTTGGCAATTATAAATAAAGCTGCTATAAACGTTTGTGTGCAGGTCTTTGTGTTCACATTTTTTCAACTCATTTGGGTAAATACCTAATTTGTGATTATTGGATCTTATGATAAGATTAAGTTTAGCTTTGTAAGAAACTGTCAAACTGTCTTCCAAAGTGACTATACCATTTTGCATTCTTCTTGCCATTCTAATAGGTGTGTAGTGTTCCCTCATTATTTTAATTTGCAATTCCCTAATGATATATGATGTTGAGCATCTTTTCATATCCTTATTTGCCATCTGTAAATCTTCTTTGGAGAGATTAAGATTCAGATCTTCTGCTCACTTTTTAATTAGGTTGTTTCCTTACTATTGAGTTTTAAGAATTCTTTGAATATTTTGGATATAAGTCCCTTATCAGATATGTGTTTGCAAATATTTCCTGCCAGTTTGTGGTTCATCTTTTCATTTTTTTTAAATGAAAGTTCTTTTTGAAGGACCTCGAAAAACAAGTGTAGAGGGACACCTGGGTGGCTCAGTCGGCTAAGCATCTGCCTTCGGCTCAGGTCATGATCCCAGGGTCCTGGGATGGAGTCCCTCATCGGGCTCCTTGGTCAGTGGGGAGCCTGCTTCTCCCTCTGCCTGCCACTCTGCCTGCTTGTGCTTTCTTCCTCCCTCTCTCTCTCTCTGACAAATAAGTAAAATCTTAAAAAAAAACCCCAAAACAAAAAAACAAACAAAAAACACGTATAGGATCAGATTCAAAGATTCCATTATAGAAGCACAAAATTTGACCTCAATTTTGTAAAGAAATAATTGGAATAGTTAGGTTATAATATCCATGAGGATAAGATTTGGCAAAGCCAGGATTTCTACCTAGTTGCATCAGATAATATTTCAAATTGACATTTGCCAAAATCTTACATAAAACAAGCCATCACTATAAGAACAAATTCTCTACATTATTAAACACTGATTAGGATATTTTGTATTATATTAGAGGATATCACCAATTCATGCCTCATCTGAAATCAAAATAAATATGGAAAGTCTGTAACTTTGAGCCCTGGATTAGAACCACATCTTAAGGAACCCTTTGAGCATATCCAAATGGATTTTATATATTTGCTTCTGAATTATGAATATGTACTAATAATATTATGTTTATTTTCTGGATGGGTTGAAACACTCTTTCATCAAAAATCCATAGCACTCATACTGGCCAGCAAACTTTTGGATATCCTGCTACCTACTTAGAGCATTCCATCTTATATATTCAATTATAGGGCAATATGCTTTATTTTGGTAATTATTCATGATTATACCAGAGGTTTTGGCTATTATTTAGAAACTTCACTGTGTTTTGAACGCCAAAACTTCTGGAAAAATGGAAGAGACATTATCAGAATTGCAAAATTATATTAGAAGCTTAAATTGAGGTTCTCCAGAGTATCCAAGAAGCAGGTGGTTCATATAAGTCACCTGCTGACCTAAGATCCAAGATCCTCAGAACAAGTGGAAAACTGCATGAAGTAGAGAGCTTCCATCCAAGACCATGAGAATAAGAAAATATTGATTTGTCAGTGCTTTGTGTGTTTTTCACATATTTTTATTCACTATTTTTGTCATATTTTTTTCTTTTTATTGTTTAGTATTATACACTTCTGACTTAGCCTATCATGATCTCCCTTACTTCTACCAATAACTTATTGAGGTTTAAGTTTTACTAGAGATAATCATTTTGCTAGAGTTAGGACAATCCTAACTCTGTAACTCAGCCTTTTACTAGCAAACCAATTTAAAGAATTACTGTAGGGCTAATTGAAAATTTATGTGTATGAATTGTGCATGACTTTCCAGCGGTTCAATGGATCTTATCTTCTTAGTCCAAGGGGATAGAAACTTTTCTGGGGAAATAAATAATATCTGGTGGAAGAGATTCCTAAGTATAATGTTTTCTAACCATAGTAATAAAAAAATTTGTGACTGACTTAGCATATAATACAATTCATGCCCTATCATTCAGTATAATAAACCAGTTAAAATTTCCTAGATAAATGATAGAATTGCTTTGAATTTTCTTTTGCCCAACTATAAGGGGATATGTACCATTGTTAATAATGCATATTGTACTTGGATTCACACTACAGATCTAATTTATCTAAGAAAAGAAAAGACAACTTGGGTATGTAAAGTAGACTTAAGGCATAATTATAATTGGGACTAGTTTTCTTTCAGGCCTGAGAAATATTGGACCATGATTCTAGAGTGCTTCCCTTTCCTTCTTATAATACCTTCAGCTACTTTTGTTTGTCTCACAGCTGTTTGAAGTCTGCTTTTCAGAGACTTAAATGCTTCTGTGTAGGCACTGTATGAACAAATAATTAAACAAATGATTCAAAGACAAAACCAGGATGAAATTATCTTGACATTCAGATGTCAGCTCCTCTCAAGGAAAATCTACAATAGTGAAGGTCTGGACAGTTCTTGATGATCTCTCCTGTGCTTTTGGTTGAGTGAGGATCAAAAGGTGGAATTAGGAATAAAAACATCCCACATTATTAAGAAAAGGCTGTTGCCATGGCTATAATAGAACATTATCAAATGAATATAAATTATGAAAAACAAAACAAAATGTGTTTGTACAGTACCATCTTCTATTGCTAGATGAACAAAGACCTAAGGTCACCTGCTATATTATACAGAGTTAATATCAGACTTAAAAATATAACATTGTCCCTTATTTATAATAAAAGGCATGTCTTCATAATGTTAGAGGAAAATACTACATATAATAATATAAGGCTAATATAATTGCCCAAGAAATTATATTTGTGATGACTTATTCAAGTAATTATGTCTATATATAGTATCTCAGTTATAATCTAAATTTTGAAATTTTTTGTCTTATGCCAAGACCTAGTACCTCTGTTGCAAAAGCACAGATTATCAAAAAAATCATAGGTTATCAAAGCAGGCAGAAATGTTTAATTAATGTTAATTAATGAAAATGTTTAATTAATGAAGGGTTAAAATGGTGAAATCAACAAGGGACGAAAGGGATGGTAAAATTATCATTAAAACTGTATAAAGAATTAAGTTATTTTTCACTTACCTAAAGCAGTACTCAATTCTTCTATCAATGTATTTAGTTTGATCTTCCCTTTATCTGTAAGTCAAGACAAAATTTAGACACTGGTAATCCAAACTCAGAAAAAAAGCATAAAGCATAAAATACTTAAATTATGAAGTAGAACCTAGATGAAAGCTATTCACTGTATCTTGTCCTTTTTAAATTTATAATTCTTGGATTTTAATGGATAGCTCCATTATCTGCCAGGGGCACTATCATTCTTTGAACCGTAAAGTCTATCTTAGGAAAAATGTTCTCTCAAGTCTTTTGGATTCATTCTATTTCTAACTCCATGTTTCTCTAGGAATGGCTGATAACACATGATTGATATACATTTAAAACCACTGTTTATGGTATTATGTTGTTTTCTATCATTGGAGAAAGACAAAGAATCCTGGGAAAAAGAGCAATGAAGAGCACAGTGTCTGGTAAACTAAAGCTATTAAATTTTGCTTGAGGGGAAAATGCCATGTAGGGAGTTGGAAAGAATGGTTGAAAGAGATTGGTTGGAGCTAACAGTTTAGACTTTGACATTGGACTGCCTGGAGTTGGGAATAGAGCAGTGAAAGAAAAAGATAAAAATCCTGGCTCCACAAAATTTACATTTATTTGTTTTATTTATGGCTGTATTCCTAAGGCCAAAACAGAAACTGCTAGGTGTTAGGTGTTCAATAGGTATTGTTACATGAATGAATAAGTTAATTTGTCATAAAAATGCTTAGCACTGTGTCTAGCATATTGTAAGACTCAATGCATATAAGCTATGAAGGTCATTGAAAGGTTTTAATTGGCAGAATTACAAGGTCAGATTTTCACTCTAGTTAAGTCATCTGGTGAGTGGGTATAGAATGAATTGAAGGCAAAAATGGGACCAGTGACTGTTATACTAGTCAGGAGCCTTCTGTAGTAGTGTAAGCAAAGGATAATGAGGATTTGAATTAAGAGTAGTATAGCAAAGATAGAGAGTGGGGATATTTTTAAGAGGAAAAAATGAAGGAACATGAGAAGTCAAAGATAATTTGTGGGTTATTTCAGGGGTAGTTGTGGGTGGACGATAGTGGCAGAGAAATAAAAAAAAATTAGGACTGAATTTAATAGGGAAAATAGTTTACTTTTTATATGTTGAATTTGGATTTCCACTGGGAAATCTACGTCTCAACAGAGATTTGTTGATATAGAAGATCCTTTAACTGACCTCCATTTAACTACCCTGATGGCCTGAACTATATTCATCCTTCCTACTGTAAAACATTCATACTGATGTTGATGGCATGCTAAACTTTACATCTAGTAAGCTACACTTTTAGTAAGCCAGCACATTTGTGTTCCTATGGGTTGAGTTGTTGAGCTTGTTTCCAGGTTTGTTTATAAAAGAGTTGTACTTATTATTAAATTGATAACTTAATCATTATATAAACTGTTAAACTATAAATGGAAAAGGGAGTTATTACCGTAAAAACAAATTTGAATGTTTTGGAAAGTTTATGTAAAGCTGAATTTGGTATGGATAAATAACTGTAAAAAGATTGGGCAAGGAATTAAAATCTAGATGGATTCTGATGGAAATTTCTGCTCAATTTTTAAAAAAAGCACTTTGCTCCACTTAAGAGAAACTGAAAATGGAAGTATAGATGATAAATGGGTATTTTTGTGCAAGAAAATCTCCAAAGAATATGGCTACATTAAATTAAAATGTAGTCCCACAGATCTGTACCTCTGAAGCAAAAAATACATTATATGTTAAAAAGAAGAAGAAGATAGCAGGAGGGGAAGAATGAAGGGGGGGAAATCAGAAGGGGAGATAAACCATGAGAGACTATGGACTCTGAAAAACAAACTGAGGGTTCTAGAGGGGAGGGGGGTGGGAGGATGGGTTAGCCTGGTGATGGGTATTAAAGAGGGCACGTTCTAAAAGGAGCACTGGGTGTTATATGCAAACAATGAATCGTGGAACACTACATCAAAAACTAATGATGTAATGTATGGGGTTTAACATAACATAAAAAAATTAAAATGTAGTCCCATTTTTTTATGGAAATAAAATATGTATGGTACATATACATCATTTTTATTATTCCTTACTCTAACTGGATTTTTAGAGTGTCTGATCAAATACTTGCCCCCATCATGCTACATAAAAAGGACCTCACTGTCCTAGACTGAAATGCATGAAAAAAGTATAGGTTTGAGATAAAAAGATTTGAAATCTTAAATATATATGGTTAAGTGGAATCAGCAAGGAAGAGTGTGGAAAGAACAATAGACTGAAAATAGAACTGTTATATTACTATCATTTAAGCCAGTGATTTTCAAAACTTTTTTATTGTAAGCCACACTAAGAACTCTAAACACACACACACACATACACACACACACAATTGATCATGAAGTCTGATGACACAAAATCTAGCTTGACTGTTTCATTAAAAAATACTCACTTAACCAACTAGTTTGAAGGGAGAAAGAAAAGCCTATAAGAAAATGAGCCTTACAAACAAGAGTGCCCATTCTCACCACTCCTATTCAACATAGTACCAGAAGTCTAAGCCAGAGCAATCAGGCAAGAAAAAATGGGCATCCAAATAGGAAAGGAAGAAGCATAATTGTCTTTGTTTGCAGATGATATGATCTTATATATAGAAAATCCTAAAGACTCCACCAAAAAACTGTCAGAACTAATCAATGAATTCAGTAAAGTTGCAGTATACAAAATCAACATACAGAAATCAGTTGCATTTCCATATACTTTATATCTGAAAAAGAAATAAAGAAAATAATACCACTAACAATAGCATAAAAAACAACAAAATACTTGGAAATAAATTTAAATAAGAAGTTGAAAGATCTATACAATGAAAACTACAAAACCATGATGAAAGCAATTGAAAAAGACAAAAACAAATGGAAGTATAGCTCACATTCATGGGTCAGAAAAATTAGTATTGTTAAAATGTCTGTACTACCAAAAATCATCTATAGATTCAATCCAGTTCCTATAAAAATTCCAAAGGTATTTTTTCACAGACATAGAAAAAAAATCCTTAAATTTATACGGAACCACAAAAGACCCTGAATAGCCAAAGCAATACTGAGAAAGAACAAAGCTGGAGGCATTACCCTTCTTGATTTCAAATGATACTACAGAGAGATTATTGAAAGATATGAATTTAGTGCCGTGTTACCTGCAGAGTTGGTGTTTCTGGTGATGTTCTCTGGTCCTTTCTAGTCTTTGTTTCTTTTGGTCTTTTTTTTTTTTTTTTCACCACCCAAAGAGTCTCCCTTAAAATTGCTTGCAGGGCTGGTTTAGTGGTCACAAACTCCTTTCGTTTTTATTTGTCTGGGAAACTCTCTTTCTCTCTCTTTCTATTCTGAATGACAGTCCTGCTGGATAAAGAATTCTTGGCTGCATATTTTCCCCATTCAGCACGTTGAACATTTCCTTCCACTCCTTTCTAGCCTGCCAGGTTTCAGTGGACAGATTTGCTGCAAACCTGTTCTGTCTTCCTTTGTAGGTTAAAGACATTTTTCCCTTGCTGCTTTCAGGAGTCTTTCCTTATCTGTGTATTTTGAGAATTTGACTATGATATGCCTTGATGATGGCTGGCTTTTGTTGAATTTAATGGGAGTTCTCTGTGCTTCTTGGATTTTGATGTCTGTGTCCTTCCCCAGATTAGGGAACTTTTCAGCGATAATTTGTTCAAATAAATCTTCTGTCCCCTTTTCTCTCTCTTCATCTTCTGGGACTCTTATGATACGAATGTCATTACATTTAATAAGTCACTGAGTTCCTTAAGTCTACCTTTGTGGTCCATTACCTTTTTTTCCCTCTTCTTTTCAGCTTCATTTCCCCCCACAATTTTATCTTCTATATTACTGATTTGCCCCTCTGCTTTGTCCATCCTCATTTTTATGACCTCCACTTGGGATTGCATCTTGGTTATAGCATTTTTAATTTCAGCCTGACTAGATTTTAGTTCTTTTATCTCTGCAGTAAGGGTTTATCTAGTGTCTTCTATGCTTTTTTCAAGCCCAGCTAATATCCTTATAATTGTTGTTTTAAATTCTGGCTCAGACATCTTACTTATATCTATATTGATTAAATCCCTGGTTGTACTACCTCCTGTTCTTTCTTGTGGGGTGAATTTCTCCATCTCATCATTTTGTCCAGAAAAGAAAAGAAGAAAGAAAAAGACAAAATAAAAAGTCCAACAATAACAACAACAGCAACAAAACTAGATCCTGCATGTGTTTTGGTCTGCTTGTTAAAGAATCTTCCAAAGATGGTCACTTTTCTTCTTGTAGACTTGTAGTTTCTGTTCTCTTAGACCTCCGATTGATTTCTTGGATGTTTGGAATGATCTGATAACTATCTAGCTGTATTTGAGGGATGAGACATGCTTAGGGTCTCCCTAATCCTCTACCATCTTAACTCCTCCCCCTCAAACTATACTACAAAGCTAATCTAACAGTATGGCACAGCATAAAAATAGATACATGGACCAACAGAACAGAATCAAGAGCCCAGAAATAAAACCTCACATATACAGTCAGCTATCAACAAGGCAGCCAAGAATACTCAATAGGGAAAGGACAGTCTCTTCAATAAATGGTGTTGGGAAAACTGGATAACCATAGGCAAAATAATTAAATTGTACCACTATCTTATACCACTCAAAAACATGAACTTGAAATGAATTGAAGACTTAAATGTAGGACCCAAAACAATAAAACTTCCAGAAGAAAACATAGCTTTTTTTTAAAAGATTTTATTTATTTATTTGACAGAGAGAGACACAGCAAAAGAGGGAACACAAGCCGGGGGAGCAGGAGAGGGAGAAGCAGGCTTCCCACAGAACAGGGAGCCCAATATGGGGCTCGATCCCAGTACCCTGGGATCATGACCTGAGCCAAAGGCAGACGCTTAATGACTGAGCCACCCAGGCACCCTGAAAACATAGCTTCTTGACATGAGTCTTGGCAATTATTTTTTTAGTTATGACACCAAAAGCACAAGCAACAAAAGAAAAAATTAATAAGTGGGACTACACCAAACTAAAAGGCTTCTGCAAAGCAGTAGAAACAATCAACAAAATGAAAGGGCAACTTACAGAATGGAAGAAAATATTTGCAAACCATGTATCTGATAAGGGATTAATATTCAAAATATATAAGGACCTCATACACTCAATAGCAAAACCCCCAAAATCCAACTAAAACATGGGCAGAGGAACTGAATAGTCATCTTTCCAAAGAACATATACAACTGGCCAGCAGGTACATGAAAATGTGTTCAATATCACTCATCATCAGGGAAATGCAAATTGAAACCACAATGAGATATCACTTCACACTTGTTAGAATAGCTATCATCAAAAAGAAATAACAAATGCTGGTGGGGATGTGGAGAAGAGGAAACCTTTGCTCACTGTTGGTGGGAATATAAATTGGTACAGTCATTGTAGAAAACAGAATAGAGGTTCCTTTAGAAATTAAAAATAGAACTACCATATGATCCATTAATCCCACAGCATAGCATATAATTCAAAATCCCACTTTGAAAAAGGATTTCAGAAAGATATCCGCACTCCCATGTTCATTGGAACATTAATCACAATAGCCAAGATATGTGTCTGTCAGTGCATGAATAGGTAAAGAAGACGTGGTATATTATATACAATAGAAAATTAGCCCCGAGAAAGAAGGAAATCTTGCCATTTGTGACAACATGGATAAACTTTGAAGGCATTATGCTAAGTGAAATAAGTTGGACAGAGAAAGACTAATACTGTATGTTATCACTTATATGTGGCATCTAAAAATGCTGAACTCAGGGTGTGTGGGTAGCACTGTTGGTTGAGCATCCGACTTTTGATTTTGGCTCAGGTCATGATCTTAGGGTCGTGGGATCGAGCTCAGTGTGGAGTCTGCTTAAGACTCTCTCTCCTTTCCTTTCTGCCCTTCCCTGCTCTCAAATAAATAAAACTTTAAAAAAGAACAAAAACAAAAATGTTGAGCTCATAGAAACAGAGTTAGAATTGTCATTATCAGGGGCTGAGGGAGGAGGTGGGGAAATGGAGAGATCTTAGGTAAAGGGTATAAACTCTGATTTCTAATGTGAATAAATTCTGAGAATATAATACAGAATGGTGATTATAGTAACAACACTGTATTATATACTTGAAAGTTCCTAAGAGTAGATCTTAAATGTTTTCACTATAAAAAAAAAGATAATTATGTGATGTTACAGAGGTGTTAGCTATGGTGGTAATCATTTTGCAATATATAAGTTTATCAAATCAACAGCTGAACGCCTTCAATTTACACAATGTTATATGTCAATCATATCTCAGTAAAGATGAAAACAATAAGTACCCCTTAAAAAGTACAAGGGTGATTATGTGCTTACCAGCATCTGGCAGTCTTTCTATCAGATCCATGAATTCTTTTTCTTTGATGCTGATTCCCATGTTTTCTAAAAGAGTGTCCAGCTTGTTGACATCAACACTGCCTTCTAAGTAAGGAACAGGAAAAGAATACAGTAAAATTGAATGTTTCTAAAACTGGACCATGAATTCACTGTGCTGTGTTATTATTCCTCTTTATCAAGCATGTATTTTATTACAATAAAAAAAACTCACATATTTCTTAGTATTAAGATTTTCAAGATGAATACCAAAAACCCAGTTTTGTTCAGTTAATAAGAGAATAAAAATTCCTCTCAATTTTATGTTAGGATTTTGAAAAGCGAGAGCTAGAGATGACTGACATAATATTCTATAAAACAGGAGTTGTTTTTATTGTCTGTACTTTCAAATTATTTGCCTCTGTTTTTGACTGAAACCTTTATCTGACAGTGTTCATTCTTTACCTTTTGCTTTCTGTTTTTATTTTGTTTCTTTGGGGCTGAGTTAGGAAAATCCAAGAAAGTTTAACACTTTCTGCCAAATTTTAGTACAGGAAACTACTTGGTTTACTTGGTAAATTGCAGATCTACTTAAGAAAGCATAAATAAATACAATTACATAGGAAAGGATGATTCATATTTTAACAACACAAATAAAGGTTTCGGATTCAGTCTTTTCACTGTGCTTCTTACTCACGTTTGAGAGACTTTATGCCCTTCATCAACCTTTTTTGATACACTTTTCCATCAGCTATAAAAAATAGATATTTAAAATGGAGTCAGAAAGGTAGTACACATCTTTTAATTTCAGAAAGAAAGAATTTAGAAATCTTTGCATCAGGAACATTTCTTTTTTTAATTAATTAATTTACTTTTTTATTATGTTAATCACCATACATTACATCATTAGTTTTTGATGTAGTGTTCCATGATTCATTGTTTGCATATAACACCCAGTGCTCCATGCAGAATGTGCCCTCTTTAATACCCATCACCAGGCTAACCCATCCCTCCACCCTCCTCCCCTCTAGAACCCTCAGTTTGTTTTTCAGAGTCCATCGTCTCTCATGGTTCGTCTCCCCCTCCGACTTACTCCCCTTCATTCTTCCCCTCCGCAACAGGAACATTTTGAATGCAAATAGATAAATATATGAAATTGTTCACTCTCAGTGGTAAAGGAGTGAATTGCAAATCATAATCATGAGATGCTCTTTTTTTTTCTGTATTGAGAATGTAGAGAAAATAACATCCTCAAATACTGTTTGTGGGAGTTCAAATTATAATATTCTGGAAGAAAATGTGAGAAAACAAACAAAATATCTTCCATTTTACAACTCTACTTAAAGGAATTTAATCTCAAAAAATTTTAGAATATTTGCAAAGATTTATCCACAAGGTTGCCAAATAAAAAAGGATATATATTCATACATGGAGAACTAGAAAAATATACATCAAAATTCTCATAGTAGTTATTGCTTTAAGTTGGGAATAGAGATAGTTTTATTTTCACTTATTTGCATTATCAAGGTTTCTATGATAAATACGCATGTTAACATTGTGAAGAGATAAGAAGTATAAGTAAATTAATATACATATAAATATTATCTACCAATCTATCATCTGCTGAGCACTAGAAGGAAGTGTACCAAAATACTAATAATGGCTATCTTTGGGTTATGGGATTAAAAAGAATTTTTAATAATTTTTTTGGTTTTATTTAAAACCAGGGCATTATGCTAAGTGAAATATGTTGGAGAGAGGAAGACTAATATTGTATGATATCACTTATATATGGATTCTTAAAATGCTGAACTCAGGGTGTGTGGGTAGCACTGTTGGTTGAGCATCCGACTGAGCCACCCAGGCACCCCAAAAACATAGCTTCTTGACATGAGTCTTGGCAATTATTTTTTTATATAGGGTTGTTTTATGTAAGATTGTAATTTTTCATTTATTTTTGATGTTTGTATCTTTTTTTAATGTTCAGTTAGCCAGCATATAGTACATCATTAGTTATTTATGTAGTGTTCAATGATTCATTAGATGCGTATTTTTTTAATCCTTTAGAATCTTAGATTTTTTTTATTATGTTATGTTAATCACCATACATTACATCATTAGTTTGTTTTTTTTTTGATGTAGTGTTCCATGATTCATTGTGCATAACACCCAGTGCTCCACGCAGAATGTGCCCTCTTTAATACCCATCACCAGGCTAACCCATCCCCCCACCCCC